ATGACTCCTTACTGGCCAAAAGCAAAAAGGCCAATGAAGAGAAGGCCAATGCCAGAGTCAGCAAGCTAATGGGTACTGAGAAATTCTTTTTGTTGAAAATAGTGGTGATGGAGGCAGTGAAGAGGATGGAAATAGTGCCTAGCAGAAATCAAAGATGAAGTGGTCACATCAGGTTGAGTAAAGGTAGAAGCTACCTCCTAACACAATGGCCAAGGCAGGCATTCAGTTCATGCCTTCTAGGAGTAACACACAGTCTCCATTGTGTCACCCACTTCTGGGTAACAACCATATGTGACTAGTAATGCCATGTATGCAACCCTTCTCTAGTGAGAAAACAACTTTTCACATGTTCGGGTGAGCTGCTTTTCACACTAGCTGTTCAGGTTTGGTTTTAATCACTGGTACGCCACACAGAAATCTAATCCCACTTCTAATTAGCCTTTCTCTCGCTGCATTCCCCACCCCCCATTCACCAGCAAATGTGATTTGGAAATCCTTCCAACTCTGCTAATATGAATATTGGAAAAGGGTGATACATATTAGGTTATAATCATCAGAAGGATCAGTTTAAATAAGGAGTTATGAATCCCTGCACATGATTTTTCACTCTCTGGATTGAGAAGGATTTCCCCCAGAGAATTAACCTACTTTGAAATAATTCCACAAACAAAAAGAATTCACGCGGGTGGATAATACTAGTTCAGTTAAATAGTCTTCTGTACTGCACCAGATACTGACTGGGCTGCTGTAGAGGAAGTGTCACACTGTCCTTTCTGTGTGCAACATCTTCTTTCATGTACTTTCTTCTCCTCTCATGCACCACCAAAGATGATCCATGAAAATTAATTTAAAATTGAAAAACATTTTTAAAATAGGACTTGTCCATTGCAATTAGATTTCAAAATCTCTTCTCCCCCTACAACTGAGGCCTAAACCATTGCTCAGTTTCGAAACAGGCCTTTTAAAACACCAGGAGTCAAGATAGACGGGATAGATCAGGGCTTGAACTATCCACCTGTGAAACGTGTTCACCACCCCCAGAGCCACTGACTGTTCCATCACATCCCGGATGGATTCAAAGAGAGCAGCTGATGGGTGGAGTCTGAAATTTTAGTATCTTAAAAAAAAATTCCTGTTAAAGCCATTTTCCCATTGCACATTAGGATGACTGGATCTCGTGCGATGACACTGCCTGCGTTTTGCCCTAACGGCACATGGTAAGGGCTGGAAAACTAAGATGGCATCTTATTTTTTTCAGTTTGTCTGCACCTCTTTACCTTCTACATACTTCCCTAGGACATGCCTGTGTCCTCGCATATCTGTCATATCTTCTAATCTGAAGCACCAGCCTCCTCTACACAACATGATTTGTTGTCTCCTCTCTCAGTTGCCCAGGGTCAGAATTTTGTTTCCCCAGTAGTGTGGAGGACTGTAGCCATGCTCTGGGATGGTTTGCCCATCTGCTACAAAACAGGAGGAGGGAGAAGCAGAAGGAGAGAGCTTGGGGAATCTCCTTAGTCATCAAGCTCCACATCAAGACGTTCACAAGAGGACTGAGGGAATAATAAGAAACACCCTTTCAAAAGATGGAATTGCACATCCGTTTCAGGAATTAGCTAGCAAGGAGGCTTTTGGTTACGACTTGTGCTCAGCCAGCTTAGTCTGGAGCGCTGCCGCTGGAATCGCAGGTTCGAGATTCAGAGAGGATGCAGCCATGAGGTATATTTCTGTCCATCGTTTCAAGCCTTGGTTACCAGGACTTTAAGGAAAAGCAGTTGTGTTACAACTTATTTCCCCTTCTGCTCCAGCCCCCTTCTTCTCTCCTCCTGCCCAAACAACTCTGGTCTCCCTCGCGCACTGAGACCCTCTGATAAAATGCCACCAAAGAGCCAGCTTCAGTTTGTACTTAGACATTCATAAACATGGAATGCTGTCAGGCATTTGGTGCATTCTCTTAGCCAACGCCAGAACACAGAGAGAAGCAGCCAGGGTCAACTCACAAACAGATAAAAAGCAAAGAGACAGAGAGACAAATTTAGAGGCCAGTCACCAATAAAGATGGACGAGGGTGTGAAGATGCTCCCACATGGCAGAGCCTCTAAATGCATGGAACCAAGCGTTCAGTCACTCTCTCACTCTTGGATATAATGTTCACTTGGATGGCATTCTCTTATACACTGGCTGGCTGGGTTGCTCCCTTTCAATTCCAGCCATTATCCTTGATCATGTGAGCTAGTTCAATGATGTATTTGCCTTCTTTATACTTCTGGCTGCTCTCGAAAGCATGTTCCTTTGAAAAAAAAACAGACAGAGAAAGTAGAGTCTGTGGGAAACTTGAGAGGCATGGAAAAGAAAGGGCAGTTTAGTGATTAGACCAGGGTCCCGGAGTCAGGAGTCATGCATTCCACTCTCCGTTCTGGGCCAAAGAATACGGAACTTTCAGGAATTTTTTTGTTTTCAGGAATCTTAGACACTGGTCCTACTCACAGCACTGGTCTCTGCTGTCTGGACTTCAGTAAGTCCTTTAACCTCTCCTTGCCTGCTGTGAGACAAGGGGTTCTCAATCTATTTCCATTACCCATTGCGTAACATCCCAAGGAGCAGCTAAAATAATTGCTTGTATGAAAAAGAAACATTAGGAATACATCTAATTCATGTTTAGCTGTCCTTAATGTGATTTACCACCTGGAAACAAGGACAAGAAATCAGGACTGTGTGACCAGCCATTTTTCTGAAGGAGACCAGCAAGTGCTCCATGGACCACACACAACCTGAGAACCACGCAGGCAACTAGAGCATAGCTATACCACAGCTGGGGGTGTGCCTATCAGCCCAGACAGACAGACATCTGGAGCTAGGGTGCAGTGTGAACATGTGACTATTCACATGACCTCTGCCATGAAAAATATTCAAAAGTCTCAGGGGAGCAGCTGCGTTAGTGTGTAACTTAAAAAAACGAGTGGTCCTGTAGCACCTTAGAGCCTAACAAAAATATAGAGAAAGTATCATGAGCTTTCGTGGGCACAACTGACTTCTTCAGATGAATATTCAGACAAAAGGTGCCAGGAAAAACAAAGGCATAGAGAGGGGACCCAGTAGATCAGCTGAAGAATAAGGAACAGAACACAGGTTTTTGACTCCCACTTCAGTACTCTGGCTCATTTTACACACACACACACACACACACACACACACACACACACACACACCCTGCAGAAAGGGAGACACACAAATCCATCCACTGGAACAATAAATTATACTCACATATTTCCAGCCCAGTGTGGTTTTGCAGTTTTCACAATAAATGTCCGCAACTGCGTGTAATCCTGTTAGTAACACCCTTTCCTCTGCAGGGCCGCAACCCACATTAACTCTGGGAGGGAAGGGAAGAAAAAGATACAGTTCTTATCAATGTATTGCTTCCTTTCAGCACACTGCAAGGCCTTTACCGCAATTTTGTTGCGGTACTGGACAATATAACCTGGAAACTCTAACAACAAATAATAGTTATTCTGAACATAGAACTTTCCTTTCAACATTACGTTCCATTCCATCTCACAATAAAGAGATGAAATACTGAAAAATTTCACTCCGTGAAAAGTTCCTAAAATCACTGAGCTAGAGAAGTTCAATATTTTCTACTGAAATGAAATAATTCCACATTTCAGAGTGAAAGTTTCATTTTGAATTTGAAATGAAATTTTTCATTTTCATTTTTCACAAATGGAAAACTGGACATTTTTGTATAATCCCCATATTCTCAAGGCAAATACTGATTTCCAGAAAAACATATTTTTTCTAAAGGGAAATGCTTTCTGATCAAAATTATTTGCCAGCTCTAAACAAAGCCACTAGTATTTAGCATTTATATATTTCTTTGTATTTACAAAGTTTTTTCGATGACTGGTCCTCACTATACCTCTTGAGAAGTGAATGGCTCGAAACAACTTCCATTAGGGGTTCTCAATCCCATGATAAAACCCCTGCTTATTTCTGCCCCTTTTCTGAAACCAAAAGTCCAGTCTGCATTAATGCTGTTTCCTTTTAGTCACTCTAAAGCGATGATATAAGCTCACAAGTCAGAGCCTTTCTGTCTCAAAAAAGGCCACTCCTTATTTTAACTGCAGGGGATATATATTTGTATCCCAAAAGATGGAGCAATGACATTTATGAAGAGACACTCACACTGAATTGAAGAGGTATGCTCGCCCTTGGCTTCCTTGAAAGGACTGCAAGGCAAGAAAACAGAAATCAGTTGGTGGATATGAAGCCATCCTCTCCATGAACAATACCTCCATACCAATGGTATTGGCTTCAAAGGGTAGTCGGAGCAACTGTTAGTGGACTTCTGAGAACTGCACATTACTGTATGCAAGATGGAGAAGGTGCAGAGTGAAACATCAGTGGAAAAGAGCTCATTACAGGAGGTCTGTCTTGGAGATGGAAATGGAAAGTGAACCAGCCTGTCTCAAATTCTAATGCATGTACATTTTAAAAGGCAGCCCAGCAGCCTGCTTGGAATCTTACCCACTTCGTTATCGTGTGAGATTATCAGCCCTCACAGCACTGCAAAACTCCAATGGACTTCTCACAAATGAAGCACTATGCGTGCTTGCTTTCCACACTTCAGTAACAAATAAAAAGTTGGTCAATTTCCCTTCTTGGTTCTCGTGCAGCACTTCAATGCCATTGCTCCGGGGTTTCCTCTCTCGGACAAACCTGGCTCCAAATGACTATTTCAAAGTTTTGTTTCTAAAAACAAAACCTACAATGTGCTTCTAAGCTAGCCGACCGCATCGCTTCAGTATTTCAAACACAATCTGAAGTGCTTCCAGCCATGAAGGAGGTGCCCGAATACATATATTACTATTATTTATTTGTATCCCCATCGGGGACCCCTCATTGTGTGAAGTGCTGTAAACACACACATTGAAAAAGGCAATTGTTGGCGCAATGAGCTGACAATTTAAGACCCCAATCTTGCAAACCTCTATGCAGACCCCTTGAATGTACTCTGAGCAGTCCCACTGATGCCTATGGGATTACTTACAATGCATAAAGTTATGCACCTTTGTAAGGCCAGGTCTTCCCAACAAACTTACATCAGTAAAATGACACTGCTCTGGTGTATGAAAAATCTACAGTCCTAAGCACGGCAGACGTCCCGTTGACTTAGCTACTGTCTCTTACAGAGGTGGATTAATGCCACGGATGAGAAATGCGCTCCTGTTGGCACAGTAACATCTTCACTAAAGAGAGGTGCAGGTGTGCTACTGCTGCTTTTAAAGTGTAAACCTGCCCGGAGTCTTTCCAGGATTAGGGCTTAACCACATGACAAGAGACAGCTGAGTAGAGATAAACACGGGAAGGGAAGGACAAGAGCAGAGCAAAACGGTCCCATTTGGCAGCATTAGTAACAATTGTGGCATTACCAATGCCTGGCTGTGTAACATTCAAGACGACAAAACGGTATTTTGCAATGAAAGTCTAGGCGGCACCAGCCACCTTGGACTGGGACTCTAATAACATGGATTCCAAACACCCACCGGCTCCATTTGTGTCTGGCCTGGAATATGACCCTGTGACAACACCTCGCTGACAGGAACAGCTAATCATGGGACAGTACGACCTGCATTTTTAACGTGCTTTCATGAAGCACCTACGGAATTAAAGGTTTTTGAACTTCCCTGAGCACAGTTCCTCCCCCTCACAGTTATTAAGGTGAAGGAGGCGGCATGCACGAAGTAGTGACAATGTAACATTGCTCGATCTGTAGAGGGCATGTGCACCCAGTAATAAAGGTGAGGCACTTATAACCAGGCCCCGTAGAGGTCAACGAGAAAAAGCAGGCTCTGGGGAGTGGGGAGAGATAGCTACTGCATCAGAATGAGTAAAGGCTATTTTATCTGGAGGGCAGCTTTCAAGGTTTAAACGAATGTGTTACCCCCCCTCCCCTCAGCAATATGTTTTGTTCATGG